CACAACCAAAAAAAAAAAAAAAAAAAAAAAAAAAAAAACCACAAGGGAATTCCCTGGCTGTCCAGTGGTTAGGACTCGGTGCTTTCACTGCCATGGGCCAGGGTTCAATCCCTGGTCAGGGAACTAAGATCCCAAAAGCTGCGCAGTGCAGCCAATTAAAAGAAAAATTATTCTCTGGAGGTCAGAAGTCCAAATGGGTTGTATTTGTCTGAAATCAAGGTGTCAGCAGGGCTGCACTCCTTCTGAAGGCTCTAGGGGAGAATCCATTTCCTCACCTTTTCCAGCTTCTAGAGCCTGCCCACATTTCTCGGCTCCTGGCCCCTTCCTTCATCTTCAGAGCGCATCACTCCAACTTCTTTGGTCATCACATCTCCTTCTCTGACTCTGACCCCCACCCCCACCCTTATATGATGACCTTGGGCCCAAGCAGATAATCCAGAATAATTTCCCCATCTCAAGATCCTTAACTTAATTATATCTTCAAAGCCCCTTTTGCCATGTAAGGTAACTTATTCACAGGTTCCAGAGATTAGGACATGAACATCTTGGGGAGGTCATTTTTCTGTCTACCATACCATTCTCAGTTCATGAGCCATACAAAACCTGGCAGAGGTTACAATATGCTCCATCTATTCCACTCCTAGGTACACAGCCAAAAGAATGAAAACAAGGACTCAAACAGATGATCATATACCAGTATTCACATCAGCATGATTCACAATAGCCAAGGGTGAAAACAACCCAGGGTCCATCAATGGATAAATGGATAAACAAAATGTGGTCTATTCAAACAAGGGAATATTATTCAGCCTTAAAAAAGAATGAAGTTCTGGGACTTCCTTGGTGGTGCAGTGGTTAAGAGTCCATGCTCCCAATGCAGGGGTCCCGGGTTCCTTCCCCGGTCAGGGAACTAGATCCCACATGCATGCCGCAAATAAGATTTCCCTGCTGCAACTAAGGAGCCTGCCACAACTAAGACCCCGCACAACCAAATAAATAAATAAATAATAAGTATTTTTTTTAAAAAGGAATGAAGTTCTGATATATACTATAGCATGGCTGAACCTTGAAAACACGATGCTAAGTGAAAAAAGCCAGATACAAAAAGTCACATGTTGTATGATTCCACTTACATGAAATATCTAATAGGCAAATTCATTGAGACAGAAAGTAGATTAGAGGTTACCAAGGGCTGGGGGGAGGGGAGATGGAGATTTATTGCTTAATGGGTATGGAGTTTCTGTTTCGGGTGATGGAAACTTTTGGAAATAGTGGTGATGGTTGCACAACACTGTGAATGTAATTAATGCAACTGAATTGTGCACTTTAAAATGGCAAATTTTACATGTTTTTGACCACAACAAAAAAAGTTTTTAAAAAATGGTCAGTGGGGGACTTTCCTGGTGGTCCAGTGGCTAAGACTCTGCACTCCCAATGCAGGGGGCCCAGGTTTGATCCCTGGTCAGGGAATTAGATCCCACATGCCACAACTAAGAGCTCCCATGCCGCAACTAAAAGATCTCACATGCCACAACTAAAAAGATCCCGCGTGCCGCAACTAAGACCCAGTGCAGCCAAATAAATAAATAAATTTTCCTTTTTTTTTAAAGTATAAAAAAAAATGGTCAGTGGGCTGGATTTGAGCCATGGGCTGTAGTTTGCCTGACCCCATTGATCTGGGGTGTGCTGCAAGCCCCTTATCTTCTCACTTTGCTCCTTTGCCAGCTTAGATTTCACAGCCTACCAATATAATCATCTTGAATGCATGCTCCCTTGTGAGTCTAACCCCCACCTGCCTTGCCCCAGCCCTGCCCCCTGAAGCTGAACAGCGCTGGGAAAAGGAAATCCCACCATCTCACTTTTAAATGCCAGAACAAGATCCTCATTTGTGCAGCTGGCGATCCCTTCATGTTGCTCTGGTCCATCCTCCCTCTCTCCCAAAGGCTCCCGTCACCACCTCTGCCTCCCTCCTTGTACTGGAAATCTGCCTCCTAACCTGTGTCTGGATGCGTGTCCGCGCTCTGTCCGTGCACAGAGAAACCTTCCATGTGAATTCTTCAAAGATGTCTCTCCAGCGGCTGTCCCCCACCACCACACCCAGCGCCCGCATCCTTACCTCATGCCCTCTACTGGGTCGTTCCCACACCGAGAACAAG